GTTAAATATGAGTGTCACAGCAAAGGGTCTGAATACTTATGACCATGAATTTTTTGATTTTGTAAACGAAGAGCGAAACATTTAAAGGGGTCTGAATACTTTCTGTACCCACTGTACACACACAAGTTTTTTTTATTTTTTTAATTAAGCGGACATTTTTAACACAAGAACCAGGCAGCGAGTGGTGAACAGCTGTGTTTGTGTGGCGTCACTTCCTGATGCTATTGCCGCCCCCCCCGGGTGACATGCCCGGTCCGGAACCCCCCTTCACTCCGTCACCGTCGGTCCCTCCTGTCTCACACACACGCTCCTCTCGTTACAGGATCAAACGTGACAATATTAAAATACATATTGGCGTGTTTTTAAATGAACATATAAGCACGAGAGAACAAACTGCTTTTAACTGCAACACTTTATGAGCATAACTTCCTCATGAGGGTTACTGCCACGGTACAGACTCCCTCCAGGTTCCCATGCTTCACCTACATTCCCCTGGGTCCTAAGTCCCTGCAATTACAGCTTCTCATCACCCTCTATGTACCAACGTACATTTATAACAAATACCACACATATTACGGTAATCAGCGTTGCATATGCGTCTGACCAAAATATCAAAAAATAAATTATTAATTTAAATTATTTTTTTAGAGTTTTTAAAGTGTTTTGTTTGTAATATGTATAATAAGCATCATTTAGTTATCGCTATTGAGAATTTAACAAACATAAAAACATGACGTAGATAGGTTTGCAGTTTTCAAGGTGTATATTTCAAATTGCATCTATTACACACATGAAGATAAAGATGTGAACACCGGCTGAATATCTATTATCAGAATCATTATAACTGTATTATAACTGCTACTGTGTAAAGGGAATACTGCTGTTAAAAATAACCTTATATGTTTAAAGTGTTTGCAAACCAAATGTTATTAAGTGCACAATACACTACTTTTGAATTCATTATTGAACTTTGCGCATAACAATGCGATTAATCGCAAAAAAAATCATGCGATTAAAAATTGTAATCGTTGCCCAGCACCAATATATATAAAAATAAAAACAAACACATCTCATACGTGATGTCCCGTGCTTACCTGTGGCACACAGAGCCACGAAGGTCTGAGCGTGCTTCCTGAGTATGGGCCCGTTCTCTCTCCTGACAGGCAGCCGAGACAGAAAGTGGTCGATGAAGTCGAGGGGGGTCACCGAGGCCAGGTCCCACTTCAGCTTGTTCAAAACCAGCAGCTCCATTTGCTGTGTAGACAGAGAGAGGGGAGGGGGGGCAGAAGAACAGGTTCAAGTGTGATTGAACAGACAGATGCAGGGATTAAGATGGGGATGGAGGGGTGTGTTTTTGTCCATTTGTGGGGATTTTGGGCTTTAAACTGGCACAGCAGGAAAGGTCAGGGGGTCATCAAAACCCATTAGGAAGCCTCCTCTGGGGACCAGGAATGTCCACAATGAACTTCATGACAATGCAGACTTTTGTTTAAGATACTTATAGCCCCAAACGCACTGAAACCGGAAAACAATATGCCTCAATTGATGCTCCTAGGGTGCCCTGAAGGCATCAGATTTTAAATACAAACGCCACAGAACCAGCAGTATTTTAGGAGAGAAAAAAAAAAAAAAAAAAAAAAGGAAAAGAAAAAAAAAGCGCTTTCAGTGCGTTTGGGCCTTTAGTCGTGGCCTCGACTGTTGGGGTCGACGTGGTGGAAATGGTCCGGAGATTACAAAAACGATTAAAAAGACTCCTCTGGGGACCATAACATCCATACCAATACGGCCACTAACCAGAGATACCTTGATCCGAACAAAGGAGTCTCCTACTTATGAGCTCAGAATTGTTGCAAGACGTCGCGACTTACCAGCAGTTGGGCGGGTGTGATGGAGTTGTCTGTGTAGATGCAGAGCTTCTCTGCGGTGAGTGGGATCGTCTCCTTCAGCTTGGACGCCAGGAACATGCAGGCGGCTCCCAGTACCTGCAGGTGGCTCTTCTTTGTGGGCTCCACGGACAGGAAGCGGTCCATGTAGTTCATGGCCAGAGGGAAGACCTCCTCCTCGCATTTCTGCTCCTCGCACACCTGCACGCACACAAACCAGATACCGATATGAAAAGGCTGACTTTTCTTTTGAGACTAAGAAAAGACACATACATAGCAAGATGGACAAAATGGATCAAGTGTTTGTCAGAACAAGAAACTTGGCTGGTAACTTGCCTCACACAGGTTTTTTGACTCCGTTTAGTGTCGATGCTCATTATCTCTTTAGAAGACGAGTACTCTCTTCCAACAGGATGCTACTTCATCTGTGTAAATCTAGATCCAAGCATAAATAATGCTGTATATAGAACCCTTCGAATATATTTTTTGATATCCGATGTTGGGCTGAAATTATGGTTGACACGAGTGACGGACAACATTGTTGGCACGTTGCATGGTTGTTTTGATGCATTTTTTTTCTCTCTTATTTAGCTATTTATGTTTGATTTGTTTTTCTTCCTGGTCTTTCTTTGCCAGGTGCACGATTTATTATCATTTGTTTCTACTTGTTTGGGATTTGTTTTCATTTGCTGTAAAAAAACAAAAAAAAACAATTTAAGTATCAAAGATCCAGATTAAAAAAAAAAAAAAAAAAAAAAAAAAAAAAATAATAGTTTAGTTTAAGTCACAGAGGGCGCCACAGAAATCCCTGGCCTTGGGTTACCCTCCCCCATTTACAATGATGCAAATGAGTGAGCTGTACACATGTTTTAAATCTAGAGATTAGAGCACTAGTTTCGGCACATACCTAGAGTTCTGAGTTGAGAGGGGGAAAATAATTTATGCTATAAAATAAAAACATTTTTATTGCACATGCAAATGAGGTCACAAATCAGTGTGAACTCTGTTAAATATTTAAGGAATCCTGTTTTAAGGAGTTTATTAGTAGGCTATACTGCAAAAAAGTAAGTCGGCTTTACAACCACGCCAAATTTGTAGGTAGAGCAAGGGTCATGAATCATGAAAAACGGTGTGAGCAGTAAATGCAGTGATGTCGACCAGGCTGAATATGGCCATTTAAGTCATGACAATAAGAAATGTACATACAATATGTACTAACTAAATAACGGATACAATTTCATTGACATAATTAACAGTTTGAGTCAATTACCAACTCAAATCGCTGGTTGCAGCTTCACTACAATCTGTTGTTTTTATTGGTTTTGTGCCACCAGCTGAAAACCTCTCAGCAAAAGAAAAAACAAGGTACGGCGACAAAGTCAAGATAGTTCCATTACATTTGATTTTTTTCTATGCATTCCTTGTAGATAAATCCAGAAACCTAAAAAGGTGACATGGCCATTGTTCAGTGGGAAGCAACATTACAGAAGCAGTCAGTCAGGAAAGCACTAGAAACCGTGTCACTCTCAGATTAGTGGTGTGGTTTTGTCATTACATCACTAACCTCTAGGCTGAACGGCCTCGTGCTAAAAAAGAACGCTCATAAACAGTAGATGTCCCAGTAATATGATATACAGTCTAAGAACATGTTTAATGCAGTTTAATTGGAAAGACAGAGCCTTAATGGAGGTCAAACTGGAGAACTTTAAAAGTTCCTCACGTTCAGTCCAGACACAAAGGCATCGCGTGGTCTGCATGCACTGCTCACGACAACAAAAATAATTGTTTAAAATATTGTCGTTTAACAATAAGTTATGTTTGCATCATATGTGGATGTTATCCCCTCACATACAAGTTAAACTGGCACGTGGAAACAGGTATTTTAATTAATTAATAAAGTAAAAGAACGCGTTTGTTAAAGCCATTAGTACTTTTTTAAACTCCATTAACCTTTTAAAAGCAGCGGCACTTTGCCACTCCAACAAGCTACACGTACTTAAACATACAGTATGGACCAGCATCATGCCATGGTGAACCTGTGTAACGTTAATGTATTTCAGAAACACCACAGAAAATTATTGTTTCTCGGCAAGACTACATTACGTAACTTGTCGAGGCACTTCTGCGTCGTTGGGACTATTTCGAACTTAAATTCGACATCAATTTAAAAAAATGTATACACCTTTTCTTCCTCTTCTTTTCCCTTCCACAGTATCTACAGTGGCGCTAGAGAGCAGTCTGAATGTACTCCTTTAGTGGATAATTGTTAATAAAGTTACATTGTAGCTTGAATGCCGAATTTACCACGGTCCCTCAATGACTCACAAGAAAGAGCTTCCTGTACTAAGCAACATACAACTTTACACTTAATCAGAGGACCTTTGAAATCTCCATGTTGTGGACGTGGTTCTCTTCGCACAACACGTAACATGATATCGGTGTTTAACTCACCTCCAACATCCAGGTAGCCACTATCCTCCTCATGTACGGAGCTATTTCTCTCTGGACGCATTTGAAATAGTTGGCAGCGGGGAGGTACTTGTCCTCTGCCCGCAACAGCGCGTGCAGGACGCGGTCATTCAACAGGTTGGAGTCCCGGTAGGCCCTCCGGATGGCGGGCCTGTCCCCCTCGCAGCACAACAACCGGTGATCCATTTAGCCTGCCTGCAGCACTTTGTGTCTGTTTTCTAGCTATTTCCTTTGTGTCACAGTGGTGACGAACCTTAAAACTAGCTTATACTTAGCGAACAACAAGGTATTGTTAGCCGCTCCACATGTTGCAGACAAAATCGTCTTACAACTGTCTTTTTAACTCGTGGGAGAATAATACAGACTTTAGTTACAGGTTGGAATAGCTATTTATGTCAAATGTAGTCAATAAAATGAGTCCTTATTTGTCTCCCTCGTCTTCGTTTATTCCTTTCCCGTCAGGCTTTGAGGTATTTTCTTTTGTTTCACAGGACAGAACTACGGGACAGTACGGTGGCACAGCTCTCTTCCCACCGGCCATGTGGAACGAGTTTACCTGCTGCGCCGCTTTATCGCTGGACCGCGTCGAGGTAATTTGCATAACATGACGAGATTCCGGTAAAAGATGTCACAATAAAAGAACACAACATTTTCAGTTTTTCAAGAATCGTTGAAGATCACATCATTCATACACCATATTTAAAAGGTCAGCTAACCTACCACATTAGTCCACAAAAACACATACATTTCCAGTTACCTTTCTTGTGAAATCTAGCCATGCAGAAGCTTTATGTGCATTAAGATGATCCTTTTAAAAATACCCACTGTTAGAAATTACATTGAAAAAGTTTGGACTATGTCATAAGGATATGATATGAAGTAGGTTTGTCAAGAGTTAAACTCTATGGAATTTTTTGAAATTATTATTGTAAACTAGCAAATGTTCTACTTTTAATTTAAAGTAGTAAGTTACTTCCGGTGTCAGAGTTAAGACTGTCTAGCTTGATTCTGAAACACACGCACAAACACACACGGAGAGAGAGAGAGAGAGAGAGAGAGAGAGGGGTGGGGGTCAAAATACCAAAAGATGAAAATGAAAGCTCCAACAAACAAAAACCTTCTGAGATCAAGAGGGAGGATATTTCACAGTTTAGGGGCAGAAAACAGCCTAATGGAGAACTCTCCTAATGGAATCTTTGACTGATACTCAAAGATTCCATTATATAAGGCTTGATTATTTTAGCTATATGAATAGTGTGGATGTACACTACTACACCCAGAGGTAGCATTAAAAAAATCTTACATAAATAAAACATACAAGGTAGATTACTGATTTTTACGGTTTCATTTAGTTAAAAAATGTTTTAATCCCTTAAACATTGAGGTTGGTGAGACAATGTTGGTATTTGAGCTTGTGTAAAGACAAATAATAATAAGGCCATGAAATCTCTCTTGAGGAACTCCACCATCTGTGAACTTGGCTGCTGATGAAATAATGAATTATATGTATAAAATATATATACATATATTTCATTATTCATATACTGTATATATTTGACTGCATGTGTCATTTTGCTGAGAAGCTCCTGGCCAGCTCTTTCAGTGTGTTTGCATCTTCTTGTCTCTGTGTGGGTTTCCTCTGGTTATCTCCACAGTCCAAAGACTGAAAATAGTCCCAAGCGAATGCACAAAAACCCTGAGTTTCTGAGCCAATCTAAAATGGAGCTGGGTAGTGTGAGGAGCCACTGTCTCTTGGGAGAGTGTTTCCCCATTCTGTCCGCCTGTTTCAATGTTTTCTCTAAAATATATCCTCAGTGTCAGTTAACATGAAAACACAGGACTCTCCCAGGACCAATAGGTTACAGTATCTTACGTTTTAATTGTGTCAAAGTCGTTTCTGATAAATAATGTTTTGCCCATCATTTTGGCATGGGGGACGGGTCTACAAGACAAACTAGTTAGAGTCCTATGTATTCACAGTTGTTCTTGAGTAGAAGTGCATAAGTAGTACCAGCAAACTGCTTGAAGTATAGTGTAGTAGAAGTATAACATTGCATCAGTTGGAAATACTCAAGTAAAGTGCAATCTTTTCAGAATTGCACAATACTTAAAGTTATTTCCAGGTACTTTAATTTTGTGTTGATTTTGGCAGTCCCTGTGGACAAAAGCGGTAGTGTTTATCAAGCACCAGAGTCACTTTAAAAAAAGTCTAACTTTACTGCAGCAGGGGTCTAACAGTCTGCCCTCCTCATTCCTGGTTCTGGTTCTCAAGGGCCTCCCTTCTCTCCATTGGGCCCAGCAATATGGCCAGCGTGGTGTCTGTGTTGGCGGAGCAGCGATGCGAAGCTCTGTTCCTGGCTGGAGGATGAGCTTGGGAATTGAATGGTTCTTTCCAACGTTTTTACATACATAAGCTTGTACCTTTAACTTTTTATCATCCAAGCTGTATGGTCATTGTCTACGGGAAAAATCTAAGTGACATTTAAATAACAAAATAATTTCTCCTACTTTTCAACTCCATTGGAACCAATAGGACTTAGAGGAGCTAGTTAGGGGAGTCAGTATGGAGAGATGGACTAACCCATTGTTGGTTATGGTCTTTTTATGGGATTTGTTGATAATAAATGAAAAAAAGAATAATATCACAAACCTTATCATGTAAACATTGGGTACATTAGGCAACGAAACACGCAAGGCATAGTATTATTTTTTGTGTTGAAACTGAACGCACCTCAAAAATGTGTGGAAATATATTGTCTGTCTGCGTCTGTTAGACTGGCAACCTCCCCAGGATGGACAATTCCTCTCACACAATGCATGCTGGGATATGCTTCAGCAACCCATGAGCCTAACACCGGTAGAAAAGGATAGAAAATTCACAGTCTATTAGGAATAAGTGCAGACAAAATTTCACATGTCCTGCCTCCCACAGATCTACAGTCTGAAGACCACAATCCAATTGAATAACAGCGTGTTGCTGGTCTTGCTAGAGACGGCGACAGAATTCTACGTAGCTATGTCTCTCCCTGTCTGTGTGTGTGGCCTCTAACCTCAGTTCCTCGGGGTGGCCGGGTCCAGGGTCATACCCTGGACACCGCACACAATGGTGGCCTATAGCTTCTATTGATTCATCGTGATTGATCCCTCTTACAATGGAGACTGATCCGCCATGATCAGCTTCGCTAGCCTTCTGGTACGTCGTCCACTAATGCTGCAGGACGGGCATTTGGCCTGCAGAGCGTCAGAACAGGGCTCAGTGAAAATATTACAATGGTATCAATAGTTCTCGCTTCAGGCAATAAGCATCCAGGAATAGACAGGTTCTAGTTTCTACCATACCGTGTATGCACACTTGCTGACAAGAATTTGATGAGTTAATGGTTGTATTTACCATCCGAAATGCTTATCTGTTTCTTTGATCCAAAATATATAAATGTTCAGTATTGCATTCCACTTATCGTCCAAATAAACCTGCATTCACAGGTTTACAAAGATGCAAACTAAGATCAGAGCAGGTGTGGAATGAAAGAGACGGGGCTGATGAATGTGGTGGCAGCTACAGAGAGCACACAGAGGTCTCCATGCTGAGGAATCTAACCTTACCATCCTTCACTGGAGATAAATGAAAAGAAATGGACCTGACAGAATGACTTCACAGAGGCAGAAAGGGAGAGTAATGGACGAAAATAGCAGCTCACTGGTGCTGGATCTTTTAAATTAAAGCTGTTGACTAACATGTCTTTTTTGGTTTTTTTGCCATTAAATTGACATGAGTTACATGCAAACAAAGACAATTATTAATTCTTCCTCCAACCTAGTTACTTAATTAAACACTAAAAGTCTATTCAGCAAGATGACCAGCCAAAACTATGTCGTTCTGGAAACTTGGATATAATCAGGCAGCAATCTCTAAAAAGTAAAGCCAATGAGGAAGTGCCTTCAATTTGCATTCTATCTAATGGCCACTCCTCTGGTTGCAAAAAGAGTTCTGGTTGTATAGAAGTCTATGAGAAAATGACTCTACTTCTCTCTTGATTTATTACCTCAGTAAACATTGTAAACATGAGTTTATGGTCTCAATCTTTAGTTTCAAGTCTTCTTCAATACAGCATGATGTTCATTCAGTAAATTATGGTCCATTTAGAGTCAAACAGACCATAAAGCAGGGGATGCTTTAGGGCGGGGCTACATTGTGATTGACAGCTCACTACCATGGTGTTGTCCTGTCTGGGAGTTGTGTGCCTTATAATGTTATTGCCAGTGTTTTGTTGCACTGAGCTCCAACCTCTCCTGTCACTTCTGGTTCCAAAAAGACAAGATGGTCACCGACAAAAATGCTGAACTCGAGACGTCAAAATAGTAGTCCACAAACCAAATAGGTGACGTCACGGTGACTACGTCCACTTACACTTATGTATACAGTCTATAGATATAATATATACATTGACAAATACATTTACAGTTATTAATTCTGGTAAAAATTAAACAGGTGACTGGAGTAAAAACTGTAAAATGTCATTGTTATTGCTGGGTAGATGGAAGTCTCATGTTTTCTTCATGAGAATTGTTTTGCTGAAGCATATCAAAGCAGATTAGAGCAAGGAAAATAATAGAAAACTGGAACATAGTGCAAAAGGAGACAGTCCTCCTAAAAATGATAGAATCAGTCATTTCAACAAGTGCCTCAAAATTACAAATATTGTTGATCTAGTTGCAATTTTAATCCTGACTCTTGTTCATCTGTAGCAAAGGAGGAAGTCAAGTGACGCCATTATAGAGTCGGTAGAAGGAGGACGCTGGGTTGGAGGAATGGGTCAACAAAACATTGTTCTTTTCAATTTGATTCTAGTTTCTTACCGCGTGTCAGCTTGGGCGTCTGTTAATTATGACCATGGTCTTTCCCTAAATCCTGATCAAACCTTAATAGCATTGGCCAAATGGCTAAGCACAAAAGATTAGATCTGATAGTAGAATCAGCTGCTAATGAAGTAGAAGTGCTACACAACAGACAGCGTCCCACACCCCCTGTATGTGTGTGTGTGTGTCAAGGGAAGGAAAGACTCTCCAAGTGGGTCCTCAAGTGCTTCAGCGCCTTTTAAGTCCATGAATGGTCTGGTATCACGGCTATCAATTCTGGACACCAGCACAGAGAACGGACCAGGACTTCTTCTCAAAGAATCTCCCCTTCATCCCCCACCACCTGCCCCCAACTCAATTCCTAACGGGGGGAATTGAAACCAAAGAATGTACTGCACCATGTTAGGGAACAATTGACAGCACTAGCATTCTCTCTTTTTTTTAAAGGGTGCTTTTTCAAGTGTGTCATGCTTTAATAACCAATAAGAATACAGCCATCACACTGCCTATTTCAAATTAATAGGCAGTGTGATGGCTGTATGCTTATTGGTTGTAAACATGTGTGTTGTAAAACCTTGTATCACCCACTACATATACACTTTTTTTCTTAATCTAGAAGTGTAAGACAATATGAGGAGAAACATTCTTAAGAATCTAAATCCATGGTGCCTTGGACCTGTTTACCATGATGTTTATGCAGAGCCGTTCCCGATCCATTTGGTGCACTCGGCAAG